TTTTTTTTCGGAACCAGGGATTGAACTCAGATCCTTGAGTTTGCCAGTCAAGTGCTTATCCTACTGAGCCACCTCCCCGGCCCCTTTATTCGTTTTTTTAAAAGTAGTGTCTTGCTATGTTTTCCAGGTTGCCTGCAGTCTGGCAATTCTCCTGCCTCCACCTTCTGAGCAGCTGGGGCTATAGGTATGTGCCACCACCTCTGGGTAGGAAAGACTATATTTCTTTGACTCACCTCTGCCTAGGAAGCTGCAGCACTCCTTGGTCACTATGCAGCTCTATGCTCATGGATCCCCTTATCCCCTGCAGGGTGCACAAGGTCAGGACTGCCACAGGCTCATCCCAAGTGCCCCAGCAATAGGTGCCCCCGGCCGTCAGCCCCAGCCCAAGACTGTTTCAGAGGTGCTGCCTCTGGGGCTCCTACTCACTGGATTCAGCTTGGATATGGAGACACCATAGGCTGGCAGCCTTAGTGTGGAAGAAAGAAGGGCTTGGCTGGCTGTAGCTATGGTCAGTTGGGCAGCAAAGTGGAAGGGACCAGGCAAAACTGTGTGGCAAGAGTTTTGGGTGTTTGCTGGGAAACCAGTCACGCCTGTGTTTCCTGCAACCCTGAGAAGCTGCCAGGACATCTGAGTGAGGACATCTCTTTGTGGCAGTTCAGTGAGGCTAGCAGAAGAGCAACTGCATCCATGCTAATGCCCACCCTGATGGGAGGCATGACCCCACTTATGCCTCCAAATGAGGAGCCCCAATCCATGGACCTCTGACTCTGGAACATGTGGCCAGAGAGAGTCCTTGTTTGGGGGCCAGTTTTTGGGTTAATAATATCCCTTAGTTATTGCCAGCTGCTCAGATCTACAATCTCCCAAACCAGTGTATGGTGAAAGATAAATAAGAGGCAAATGGAATGATTTCAGGGTTCCAGGAGGATCAAAGCCCACTCACAGAATTTGAGATTCTCTCAGGGCTAAGACCAAGACCTTCTCTGGGTGGCCCATATTTATTTAGTTCTCAGAAGAAGGGAGGGGAATACTCCAGAAGGGTGGAACTGCTTGGGGGCTTCTCCAAATTAATCCACCCAGGAGTGACATGTCTGAGGCTACAGTCTTTATCTAGTTGAGGTTGGATCCAGGTGTCCTTGGCTGTGACCTTGTCTCGTCCTTTTAGGCTTCATGGCTTCAGCCTCCAATTATAGGATTCAGCAGGGACCAGTGGCACATAGAGGTTCACTTACTATGAACCCACTGCCCATCTCAAGACAGGAGCCTAGGCCTAGGGCAGACTCACAAGTAAACATGGGAAGCAAATTGGTTAATGTAAGTCCTGCTCAGGGCTACTTTGTAGTGGTCTTCATCACTACTGAAAACCCCCAAGTGACAAAAAGGTAAGGCCAGTCTGATGGAGCCTCACCATAGTGGATTGGCTGGGAGATGGTCTGGGGTCAGCTGGGCACATGGAGCTCCAGTTACCCATTAATGAACTGGCAGCCAGGAGGGTAGGAAGGGTGCATTAGGGCAGATAACCAGAAGGATAGGTGTTTGAACCTCAGTAGTGTGAGGTCAGATGGGGTCTAGGACACTTAAAGGTAGGGGACACAGTTGCCCTGCCCCCACTGTCATGCTCTGAACCTCAGTGTCCCTTTCTTGCCCCTCTGGGTCTGACCCAGGGATGCCTTCCGGTTCACTGAGCCCATCTGTCAGAGACTTACTCGCATCTTCCTCTTTTGTGTCTGGAAGTCAGAAGACAGAGTGCAGTCACAGAGAGAACACCGAGCCTGACTGAGGGACACAGTGGCCAAAGAGGCTTGGTGCTTGTGGATGAAGGGCGATCGGCAGGGACACAGGTGCTGAGGACCATGGCTGAGGCCATCACCTATGCAGACCTGCGGTTTGTGAAGGCTCCCCTGAAGAAAAGCCTCTCGGGTCGGTTAGGACCGGGTAAGAGGGAAGGAGCCTTCCTGGGTCCTGCATCCCTAACCTCTTCCATGGGCCATTCCTGACACTTACTTTGTGGTTCCTCTTCTATGCAGAGGCAGAGGACTACGAGGATGGAGATGGGGAACTCACCTACGAGAACGTACAAGTGCCTACAGTCCCAGGAGGGGTGGCTTTGGCTTCCTCTGGGCTAGGGGATAAAGCAGGTAAGGGAGCCTGAGGGTGTGATCTGCGGAGCCTTTGGCAGGAGAGATCGGGAAGGAGGGCAGTTTTGGGAGAAGAGAGGAACCAGAATTTAAGGATAAAAAGGAGCCAGGAGAAAAGACTGACTGGGCAAGGTGGGAGACCTTAGTGGGGTGATGAGTGCTGTGGGATGGATGGGGCAGCTCTGGGGGAAATGGGCTCTACTGGGAAACCGGAGGTAGAGCAGAGAAAAGAGGGCAAGAAGCAGATGAAAATAATGGGCCGGGGTGCGGGCGGCAAGTAGTGGGGTGAAGGGTAACCCGGGGGAGAGAGGGAGCTGAGAGCGTCTGGGGCACCTGGCACTCCAGAGCAGGTTCAGAGGGCGACGCGGGCAGTCCGGAGCCTGGGCACGGCGGGGGACGGGTGAGTAGTGGGGTGTTCCTGGGGGCTTCCCACGTTCTCACGGTACGTCCCCCTTCCGCAGGGGTCAGTTCGGAGCAGACGGCTACGTCCTGGGGTTCCGTGACATCGCGAGCGGCTGCGCGGATTCTCCCCTGTGGGTGTCGCCCCTCCTGAGCCCCTCGCTTGCCACCCACAGCTGCCCGCCCCTGCACTGGTGGCCCGGAGGCGCCCGCGCCTTTCCCTGCCGGCGTTGGCGCTGGGCGCGGCGATAGGGGCCGCGGAGGCAGCCGCGCGACCTGGTTTCCACCCAGCACGGCCTCTATCCTAACAGTAGACGGGATCACAGCCCGCCCCCTTGCGGATGACCCCACTTCACACATCCCTCTCCTGAACCCTTTTCTTCTCCCCTCCCTTACGGGGCACTGCCCCTTAATCCTCCTTACCACGTAAGCCCTTGGTCCAAAACACCCCTAATTCCTACTTGCAAAACATCCACTACCTGACAAAAGCCACAAATGCTCCTTTGCTGCTCCCTTAGCGGTGCTTGAGGTGCTCCAGGAACCTCCCCAGTGCTCATCCTCTCAGTCGATATATGCAGTATACATATATATATTTTCAGGGACTGACACCCACCCTATCTCTGTCCCCAAGGCCAAGCCACCTGTTTGCAACATCTCCTGCTCGGCCTGCTCCTCACCTGCCTACTGTTAGGGGTAGCCTCCATCTGCCTGGGAGTGCGCTGTGAGTATGGCTGCCCCATTTCCCACTCTCCCCAAACTCCTCATCTGTCTCCCCAAACTGCCCTTCCTCAGCAGGGCCCTAGTCACTGCCCCTGACAGCTTTGCTTAGTGTCTGGCTCCCAGCCTGGTCTGTGCTACAGTGCCCTGGCCTCCTAAATCATCCTTACCTAGCGCAGTGCCTCCTTGAGCTTTAGGCAGTCAGGTTTTATAGTGCAGCTTTTTAGAGAGAGAAAGTTTCAAGAAGCAGAAAAAGGGCTGGTGCTGCTGTCTTACAGCATGAGGGCACCTCTCTTTTTATGGCCAAACAGATCTGCAAGTTTCTCAGCAGCTCCAGCACACGAACAGGGTTCTGGAAGCCACAAACAGCAGCCTGTGGCAGCGGCTCTACCAAAAAATAACTCAGCTGGGGCAGAAGGAAGGGGAACTGCAGGAGTCCAAGAAAGAGCTGGCTCAGAGGCAGGAAGAGCTCCAGAAGGAGCAGAATGTGCATCAGGTTGCCAGGGACCAGCTGCACACCTGCCAGGCGGACGAGGAGAAGATCAAGGAGACCTTGCAAGGGGAGCAGAAGCAGAGAGAGGCCTTGGAGCGGAGGCTGGGCACCATGAGGGAAACACTGAAGCCCTTCTTCAAATGCTCCTCAGAAGGTATCTGCTCCGGAGGGGGGGATGTGAGGGAAGGACCAGAGTGAGGAGACTGGAAAGGGCATGTCAGTTCTCAGATCACTGAGTCCTTTGGGAAAGAGGCAGGGAGCTAGAGTGGTGGCTGACATGAGCTATGCAGCCTTGGTCTGAGGGAGCAGGGTCAGGCTGCACTCTAGATTTGGGGGACTTACCCTGCCCTAAGGCAGATCAGGCAGGAAGAGAGGGTGGCACCCAGAAATCCACACTGTCCAAAGCAGTTTGGCAAACTCAGGTTTCATCTGGTTGACGTCAGTGGCAATAAACTGGGAACTCCTTGGATTAGATGTGAGGTTGGTGGGTTCGGCCAGGAGGCGTTGTGGTGCATGCCCATAATCCCAGCACTTGGAAGGCTGAGACAGGAGGATTGTCTTGAGTTCCAGGCCAGCCTGGGATACATAGTGAACTCAAACCCAGCCTGAATTACACAGTGAGACCTTGTCTCAAACAAGCAAACAAAACAGAAACAAAAAAGACAAGGGTCGGGCCCGAGTTCAATCCCCGGTTCTGGGAAGAAGAAAAAAAAAAAAAAAAAAAAAAAAATTCATTCTTTAATGATTTATTTATTTTTATTGTTTTGTATTTTAGGGAAGGGTCTACAGGGTGTTCAGGGTCTCACTACTAGATTGGACTCGTAGTGATCCGCCTGTTTACAGCCTCCCAAGAGCTGGGATTACAGGCGTGTGCCACCACAACTAGTCTCAATTGCTGTCTCAGCGCGGGGTCGGCACCCCAGGCCCCTGCGCCTACTTGCAGGCGCTGTAATCCGCTGTAATCAGCTATTTGGCTGGCCCTCAATTCTTTAATAACTTAAAATTTAGTTTTTATTAGTATATGTTTGTGACAGATAATAACTACATTCCTTTTGGGGAGCTGGTACATACACGTATCAAATCTCGATCATTTCATTTCTCTATGCAGTTCTGCCTGGCCTTGAGCTCACTTTATATAACCCACACTGGACTTGAACTTGCAGCAATCCTCTTGCCTCACCCTCTAGAGTGCTGGGCTTTCAGGTGTACCACCATGCCTGGCTATTTTGCCCTTTAAATTATTTATATTATGGGCCTCTCATATTAGAGAAACCATGTGATATTTAACAGTCTGTGTCTGATTTATTTCATTTAGTATTATGGTCTCAGGAGCCATTTCATTTTTTTACGGAACCACCTTCTTTTTTTTCAGTACCGGGGATTGAACTCAGGCCCTTGTACTTGCCAGGCAAGTGCTTATTCTACTGAACTATCTCCCTGGCCCTCATTTTCATACAAATGATTCAAATTTATCTTTCTTTATGATGGAATACTATTCCATATTAATTCACACTACACTGAGATTCCTCAGAAGGTTAAGAAATACTGACTGACATGAAGTGCAGTCTGGATGTGGGTCAAGGCAGCTGAAGTTACCAGGACCTCTCTGGCACTCACAGTGGTGTGTATGTGTGGATTGGGGAGGGTGGTTTAGCGAACTAGAACTCTGCCTGCTTCCACTTTGAAAGCAGGAGCCTGGCCAGCAGGCAGAGGTGGGGGAAGGGCTACCTGAAAGGGAAAGGCAGTGCTGGAGTGAGCTGAGGCTCTAGGAAGGGTACAGGATCGAAGGGACTGGAGGTCTCATGGACTACCATGAGGGTGATGCTTTACCTGGCTCAGGGGCATCTGATGCTCTCCCCAGGCTTGAGACAGCAATATTACGTGCACACCCAGCCCTCCGCTCCTGAACCTTCTGATCCTCTGTGACTCTCAGCTCCGTGCCAGTGCTGCCACCATTCCCATAGCACATCCTGGGTCTCAACACCCCATCGTGCCCCCCTGCCAAGAGGTTGGCTGCAGACTGCTGCTCTCATCGCAACTGCCTCACCCTCCACGCCTCCCCACTCTTCTGGCACTTCACTGGAGGTCTCTGGGGTTCAAACGCCCCTGTTCCTGCCTTCCTGGCAGCTGTCTCCCATCTTTATTTCTTGTTCTTGAGGTTCCATCACTTAGCTACTTACTCTTTTTTTTTTTTTTTTTTTTTTTTTACTTAGCTACTTACTCTTTTTGTCCGTTGTCCTTCTGATGCACTGGACTCATAAAAACTCTACTCTGGATGAACCTAACCAACCACAGTCCAGACTTGCACTAAGAAGTGACAAATTGTGCAACTGATCAGTTTAGTGCCACTGAAACTCTAGAGTCTAAGGCCCCCTGGCAAGTTCTGCAATGACTGCTTTATACTCCATCATAAGTATAACTGTCCCCATCTCCTACCACATCAAACAGCAACTTCTATTTTCCATCACCAAATATGCATATCCTTTTGCCCTTTTTTTTTTTTTTTTTGAGATAGGATCTTGCTATGTAGCCCAGCCTGGCCTTGAACTTGAGGTGGTCCTCCTGCCTCAGCCTCCCATGTACTGGGATCACAGGTATGCACCACCACAGCCAGCCTCTCCTATATTTTATAAAGATAACTACAGTAGCTTTCTGAGTGTTTCCTTAACTATCCCTCCATTCCCTACTCAAACACAATCCATTTTATTTTGCATGTGTGTGACCCGCTCAGCCCACCCTGAGGGCAAGCCTTGAATGGCTTCCAGGGCCCCTCCTTAGTCATGCTCTCTGCCACTAAACTTGGAAATAGCCTGCTCTTAGCCCTGAGGGCAGGGCATGTGGTGCCTGGGATTAAGCCAGGGTCCCTGCACTTGCCTAAGTTTGCCTAAGCAGGCACTTTAGACCACTGAGCTATCTCGTCAGCCCATGCAATCCATTCTTCATATTGGGGCCAGAATAATCCTTTAACAACACAAATGTGATCATGCTGTCAGTCTAGTGTATGTCATCCTGGTAACTTCATTATGTTAAGATGTTGGAATATATATTATGTTTCAGATATACCAGATACTTGGTATATAGTGAGCAAAATTCCTCTAGTTAAACCCTACTTGGCTTTCCTTTCCTTATAATGTAAAAATATAAAATCCTTGAATGGCTTCCAGGGCCCCTCCTTATCCTGAAGTGTGTCACTTACCCACTCAGTCCCTAATATTCCATAGTGGCCACACCAATTTCTATTCTTTTAAGTCACCACAGGACAATATGTCAAGGTGGAAACTGACAGGGGACATGAGAAAATGAAGACCAAAGAGAGGAAGCTTGTGGACAGGGGGTAGTTTTTGAGTGATGGATATAAGACTGATGAGTAAAAACAATGAGGTGGGCTGGAATCAGGAGCTCAGGTTAGGGTGGGGGGTGTTAAGGAAGTCAGTTATTTTTTTAGGGATAGTCAGGAAAAGAAGAACAAAGAAATTTTGAGGTGTAGGGGAGGGAAATGGAGAGTGCCCACAATTTTAGCAAAGCAGGAACCAAGAATGCTTGTGAAAGGGTGAAGAGAGGAGGTGGCCACTGGCTGGAGGTGTTTTGAATATGCAGTGGGGAAAGCTTCAGGTAGCCATGGGATGAACGAAGGAGAGGCCTGTTGACAACTTACCTACAGATGAAGGTAACCAAAACATTGGAGTAGATCATAACATTTTAGAAATTGGGGTTAGTAAAACCAGCCCTATTAATACAAACCTCCCAGATTGTTACAAAGTAACGTTGAATGTTAGGATTTAACTAAATATATACAGGTATGGCAGTTCAAGGGGAGGCAAAATAAAAACAATTATGAAGATCAGGGAGTAGAAGACACTGAGACTAGAAGTGAGGGAATATTGCTAGCAATACTGTTGAGCAGTTGCTTTCATCCTGTGTTGCTGCTGTCACACTTTCTTCTTTGTAGATGCCTGCTGCCTGATGGGATGGACACTGCACCAGAATCGCTGCTTTTACTTCTCATCTACTAAGAAAACTTGGGAGGAGAGCAACAGTCATTGCACATCTCTGTCCTCCAAGCTGGCCATCTTCAGTCAGTCTTCTCAGCCTTATTATTATCATTATTATGTAAGCATACCCTTATCTACAGACAGAAGTGGGTACTGTTAGGTAAGGGGAGGTATGTCAAGTGAGGAAGGGCACTGCACACCTGGCATGCAGACCAGGCCTTACATCGCTCTCCCATAGTGGATAGTCATAGTCATGCTCTCTGCCACTAAACTTGGAAATAGCCTGCTCTTAGCCCTGTGCTCCAGGTGGCTCCTACTGATTGATTACAGTTGGCATGAGAGTGGAAACTCCTGCCTCATCTCTGCTTTCATTTATGTCTTAGCTTTCTGGTCAGCCCTCTGGGCTTTTTAATGGTTCTTTGACTCTTATGGTCTTTCAGACAAATTCCAGCCCTGGGAGGCTAGGGGAAGAGACTGGTTCCCTGGAACAACAGCAGTCCACAGAACAACTCCTATACAGGGGATGGCAGAAATTGCTACTCATTTGGGAGATGTGTTAAAGGGCGTCACTTGCAAGAAGCAGGGACAGCTCACTGGTGAGCTGTCACATATCAACCACTGGCAAGCTGTCATGTGCCAACCACTGGCATATCCCTCTTGCCAAAGCCTGCAGACCTTCTCCTGGGCTTTTGATTTCTTTCATATTTCTCATTGCTCTCTGCTTATCTCTAGTGTCCCGCAATCTTTTCTCAGCAGGATCTCCCCAGAGACTTAAACGAATTGTTGTCAGGTGGTGGCTCAGATTCATACTGGGTTGGTCCAGACTTTAATAAGGTCTTGAAGAAGAGTTGGCAGACTGATGATAAATCATCTTGGTAAGTTTGTGAGCACTTTTGGTACGTTCAACTTCACAATCCTCCCCATGAGCTGCTCCCAAACTCTTAATGTTATAATTACCTATTTGTTTATATTTATTTGATTAATAATAATTTAGGGCATTCTATTTTATCCCCACTACCTAGAGATCCTTGGCATATGCTATAAAAAATAGAGTTGGGAATCTGTGTCATCTTTCAGAGGGAGAAATTAAGCATTTAGCTAGGGCTTCATAGCCAAAGAATACAGATATTCTAACTTCTCACCCCTTGACAAGGATACTCAGACTGAGATTATACTTTCTCAGTCTGAGCCACCTGGGGCACTGGAGGCCTCTCTCACCTCAGGAAAGTGAGCCAGAGAGCGATGGAGTAACTTGGAAGATCAGGTCTAGAGACCCTGAAAGAGTGTGGCTACCTTCTCACATTCCCTACCTGGAGTTTTCATGTTTAGGAGCTTGGGTGATTCTTTTCCTTCCCTGGTCCTAAACCCTCTTCTAGTTACTAGTCCAGAAATCTGTCTCTGAACCATGATAAACATGGCCTTATGCAAGCAGGGTGAGTTAGGAGTTGGGCTAGGTTTTATACAGAGCAAGGGGAGAGAGGGGAGGATGAGCTAGGAGAGGTCCAGAGTGTATCCCAGTTCTGCTTTGCATTCTATAGGTATCGTCATCACTTATCATACTGTGCCAAGGTACAAAAAGATGGATCGTGGACAAGCTCGAAGTCAGACAGATGCACAGATTCTCTTCGGTACATCTGTGAACTGGCAGCTTTCAGGTTTCCAGATGGGGACCTTTCTTTGCAATGAGCTGGGTAAGCGGGGTGGGGGGCTGAGGCATGAGGCAGGGAGGGCTAGGGAGTAAAAGGGCCCACAGGCCAGAGGGAATACTTGTTTCTGGGTTTGAAAGTGACATCTATGCACCCAGTGGCTTGGTCTGCTTATGCAAGGGGGGTGGTGGGCAGAGAGCTAAGACCTAGAACAGAAGGGCGGCTGGTAATGTGGCTGTCCAGGGAGCTGGGGAGGAGACAGAGTGAGACGGGTGAAGGCTAGGGATAGTCAGCTGTGGGTCTCACTGTGCTTACTCTTCCAGAACTCAGGCCAAGAGTCTATGCTTGTCATCCCTAATGTGTGGAGCATCACTCCTAACATCAATGCCCAGCCTTCCTCCATTCTAGGCAGTGCCCAGACAAGCACTGCTTTACCCCAACACTTCTAGCCATCCTGCAACCTGCTTGAAACCCTTAGAACTGGACTGTTCTTCAGAGGAGGGAGAAGAGGTCTCTGGAAAAAGACTTTGGCCTCCCTCAGGAACCTCACATAGTAGAAGTGGGTGGGGAGGAGGGTGCATTGGCTGAGTAGATGGGGCAGCCCGGAGCCAGCCAGGCAGTTTTATTGAAATATTTTTAAATAATTTGCACGTGTTAGTCTCGTGTTTCAGCAGTGTCGTGTCTGGTTTGGTGATCCCCACAGGACAGCGAGGCCAGGGGTCAGATAGGAAGTGCTGTGTCCCTTGAGTCCATGCTGAGGCTCCCCTATGTGGAAGAAGAGTCAGTCAGCCCATCTGGGTCTGGTGCTATCCAGCAAGTGCACTCCGTCCTCACAAGGTGTCCAGAAGGCCAAAGTTTGAGTCCTAAGATCAGAGGCCCCACTGCTAAGAGCGTGCCCCAGGCAGCTGCAAGCTGGGCGTGGGTGGCTTGGCATGATGCCCTCGGTGGCACAGCAGGCTGCCTGCCTCACAGTTCAGGTTGCGGTAGCGGGCAACAGCTGGGGTGGGGCGTGGGCACATGGATAGGAAGCCAAAGCTGAAGGGACCAAGGCAGCAGCCAGGGCAGGGCAGCCCCTCCTCAGTCTCCCGGGAAGCTGAAGGGGGCGGCGAGGGTTCTGTCCGCTCCAGGGCTGCTGCCCGGGGCAGGCTATGCTGAGCCCGGTTCCAGGGCTCCCCAGCCCAGCCCTGCGGAGAGTTCACCACCACAGCTGGGGGGTTGTTGTTGAGGGGAGGTCCTGATCTAGGGGACCAGGGTTGGGAGGCTGAGGAACAAGTGCTGATGAAGTTGTCTGTGGCCACAGCCAGGGGCAGCTGGGGAGTTGGCGCTGGGGGTTCTGGTTCAGGGCTGCTGCCCTCACACTCCATCTTCTCTTCATTTGAGGGGCCCATGGGAGGAGGGCCAGGGCCTGGCAGTGCAGTCTCCATACGTCGGGGAAGCTCTGGGGATGATGGTAATGAGCGGCAGCGGCGGGCGGGCGTCGCAGGCTGGACCAAAGTCTCTGGAGTGGTCACTAAGGGCAGCTGGGTGGAGGGTAGTGGTGATGATGGTACAAGGGGCAGGGGGGTGACTGGTTTGCTGGGTGTGTCCAGGAGCTTGATCTTGCCACCCCTGAGGTCTTCCCGTAGTGAGAAAGGGTTGACTCGTGTCAGATTATCCCCCCAGGTGGGGGGTGATTCTGGTGATGGGGGCAGGAAGAGGTCTGACCGGCTTCGAGAAAGCCGGGGGTCTGGCCTGGGAAGCGTCGCAGAGGAACCTCCTCTTGGAACAGACCCTGTAGGCAGAGAAGTCTGTGATCACTGTTCTTGGCTTTTGATCATAGCTCCTAAGGACCTCGCTATTTTCCAGAAGGCTGCTGGCACTAGGCTTAGAGAAGGGAGTCCCACAAGGTGCTCTGCAAGGGGGAGTCACCTCCAGCCACCTTTTCCCCAGGCTTTCCTTCCTCCAGTCCCTCAAGCAGGCTTTAGTAACCGAAAACATCTTCTTTGACATGTCTTCCCTTCCCACCCCATCCCACCCCACGCTGACTCCCAGCTTTTCCAACTAAAATCCACTTAGCCTCCCCCAGATAACTCTGAGTTCTAAGGAGGAGAGTGTCAAAAGGAATTCCAGGGGCCGGGGAGATGGCTCAGTGGAATAAGCGCTTCCCTGGCAAGCGCAAGGGCCTGAGTTCAATCCCTGGTTCCGCCAAAAAAAAAAAAAAAAAAAAAAAAAAGGAATTCCACCGGGCCAAGTTCATGGTCACTTACCCTGACTGTGTGTCAGGGGAGTCTGGGTGAGTGGGGCCGGCTCAGGCAGCTGCTCCAGGATCCATTCCAGGTGCTGGGTGATTTCAGTGAAGGGGGCACGGGTGCTGGGTTCCATCTGATGAGCAGACAGGACAGTTTTACTCAGTCCTCTGAAAGAGGATCCCTGAGTTTTCCTCCCGTTACCTGGAAGCTATGCCTGCTCATGAATGGGGGCAGGGGGTCTGGAGGGAGAGCGAGGCTCTTACGCTGCAGCAGTGGATAGCCAAGAGCAGAAAAGGCAGCGGGCAGTCATCCCCCACCAAGGTTCGGAAAGCAGGCACATCCAGGCCAAAGTCCTGTAGGGGCAGGAAAGGGGCCTGAAGTCAGTCTCCCTTGGGTTTTCCTCCTGCTTTTCCTATGAGCATCTAACCACCCAAGCCCTCCTGAGGTATGAACCAACTATTCTAGAATTTCCTCCTGTTTCACCTAGAGATAGTCACCTCAGTGCGGGGCAGGTAGTCCGGATCTGCAGGTACTCGGGCAATGAGCTCGCAAAGGACAATCCCGAAGGCAAAGACATCAGCCTAAGGGGAGAAGATGATAATGACCGGGGGAGGAACTGACAATTCTCATTCCAGATTTCTGCTGGAATAGGTCAGAGTCTGGGTGGGGAGTGATATTGTCAGTATTCATGTCCTAGAAGGGGGACTGCGAAGGGCATGAGGTTCCTGAACATTGGTAGGGTTGTCTTTGGGGTGGAACCTTTGAAGCATCTCAAGGCTGTTTGGAGAGCCTTGGAGCCCCAAAGAATTGTCTTACCTTCTCATCATACAGCTCACCCCGCAACACCTCTGGAGCCATCCAGTAAGGGGAACCCACCACAGCCAGTGGCTCCTTCCTTGCCCCTTCCCTGCAGGGGCAGGGGCAGGGTAGTCAGAAACATCCTATTCAGGTGTCCTTCCCGGACCAAAGAGAAAGAGGTAGGCCCCCTCCCCACCCAAGGGAAATGTCCCTGGGAGGTGTTTTATTTTGACAGGGGACCTCTGGGAAGCTTTAGGGTAACAGGGTTACCTCACCTATACACGGGAATCTTTTCAGCCAGCCCAAAGTCACCCACAACAGCTGTGAAGCCTTGGGCTTCTCGTCGAACCAGGCAGTTCTGATACACAAATAGGCATTCTCACACACCCATTACCATATGCTCTCTACCCTCCCAATATAAACTTAACAACTCATTATTGCAGCATAACCCCAACCCAGTTTTCCAGTTGTCCAGTTACCCCAATATTTCAACATCATCCAACACTCCACTGTGATACTCCTCAGTCCTTTGGAGGACTCCCCTCATCCTACACCCCTCCAATATTCTCCAATGCCTTGCTATTCCAATACCCTAGTAGAATTATTGTCCACATTCCAACATCAGCGGACCCGTTACAACCCAATAGTCTCAAACCCTACCTTGGATGTGAGATCTCTGTGGAATACACCTTTGGCATGCAGGTATCCCAGGCCTCGGGCAATGTCCAGAGCCAGGTGGAGCCTTACTGGCCAGGACAGAGGCTCTGGGGAGCTGAGCAGCTGTTCCAGGGTCCCCCCATTCATATACTGGGAGAAAGGAGTAGAAGGGGGAATAAATGTCAAGGTTTCAGTTTGTATTGTAGGCCTCCTGCTAATAGGCTGGGGGATACTCAGGAGAATACTAAGGATCAGAAGGGTGAGTCTGTGATCTGGGGTTTCCCATTCATGT